AACCATGGCATGTATGGCGATCAACCGGCTTCCTAGTGCTACAAGAGCCATCTGTGGACTCATTCGAGCCGTGGTGCTTACTACTACTACTACTACTACTACTACTACTACTACTTCATAGGCCTTTTGCTCTTACCCATGCCATCGCTCCTACTATCAAACGTGAAGGCAGCAGGCCAGCCTAGGAGCGCTGGGCCATGCTGGGCCCAGCACAAGTACTTGGACAATTGAAAATGGAGAGGCTTCATATATATATATATATATATCCGTCTATATCCCCCTATATACCCTATTAGACTATAGTAGTTTCCATTTTCTTTTCCATTATCCCTACATAATTTGCTTCAATGCATCCGCAACAGCGAAAAGCGCACTGCGATCTCGCTGCGGATGGCTGGCCACAGGACGAGATGTTCCTGGTATCAAAGGCATCTGTCGGTGTGCCACGTGTCAATTAGTAGCCTGAACTTGCCTTGCAACCAGCCACGTGGCAAGGTCGGCAATGTTGCATAAGCGTTAGCAGCTGTGTCACCTGGCAATCCGCTTTCATCAGCCAACTTGCGCGGAAGCCTGACACGTGCGCGAATACTGAGGAACAGACGGATCCGTGTCGAAAACTCTGCCTGCAGACAACGTAAAATCATGCACAAAACACTTAGGCTATCGTCCAAACTCCGAGCATCCCTTCAATAATTAACCCCTACAATACTCCCCTCTGGAATCCCTATTTCACCCCCTGCGAGGAGTTTCAAGTACGGCTCCCTTGGGTTCCTCATGCCTGCTGTAACTCCTGGAGATTCACTCGTGTGCACTGACCTCACAGGTTCTGCAGAATGGATGGTGTTCATGCGGTAGTTTCCATGAATGGGGGGGATTCCCGAAATTATGGGTACCTTTTTGGGGGTCCCAATCATAAGGACTATAGCATTTTGGGGACCATATTGGGATCCCCCTCATTTTGGGAAATTACGAAATAGCGGGAACCCTAGAGCCTAAACCCTGAACAAACCCAAGATGGTACTCCGAATTGTGGGAAACCCTTAGGGTTTAGAGGTTTAGGGGTTTAGGGTTTAGGGGTTTAGAGTTTAGGGTTTAGGGGTTTAGGGTTTAGGGTTTAGCGTTTAAGGTTTAGGGAAACCCTCATGTCTGACGGTGGCTCTGCCAACAAGCACAACTTCAGCGCCCCGCTGATGTCGTCCACCTGCAGAAGTCACATGAGCTATCGTCTAAACTCAGCATCAGACTGCCGCTTTGCCGAGGCTTAAGAAGAATTCAACGACAACATCACAAGCCTGCAGAAAACCAGTTGAGTACAATTTGAGCTGGCACGGGTTGAAAGGCAAAGCTATTTCTTGGACGGAAGAGATCTGCACTCTGCTGTCTGCAGCTGTCCATTCTTCTGGCGTTGGCAGACTGTGTTTTGAAACATGCTTGCCATGGGAGATGTCCTAGACCCCACGAATGAAACTACACCCTTGACAATTCGCACATACTTTTGCAGGCATACAACAGTTGCGCTTCATTTTGAACGATGTCCTTCAAGGAGAATTTCAGTGGGATAATCGCGAAGCATGAACCCGTATGAAGCTTGGAAAGGAATGCGTGACAGCGGACGGGCACAGAGATGGAGTGGCCGAAAACCGGGGGTGACACGAGCGAGAGCATTGCTCGGTCCACAAACCACAACAATCCAGATGATGGGGTCACCCGAGTTTGGCATGCCAGCGCATGGCTTCGTGCTACAACTTAGAATCAGTAATGCCATGGCAAGCGTCCTGCAAGTTCGCGGTGAAGGTGGAGAGGCCTCGGATGGCCCACTTTATGTAGCACGCATCAGCAGAAGGAAGCTGAGATCAATGCCATTCGTCTGAGCATCCACAAAGGACTGTCCATCCATCAATGCCTGCAGGAACTTTGAGTGCTCCTATTGGCTATCCGTCCTTGGGCAACAAAACCCCAATCTTATACCGAAAACAAGAGAAAGGCATGAATGCCCAGATGTGACTTCATCACGGTCTTCCAACCCACGCGTTCCACCCGAGAGCTTATTGGCATGGAGAGGCCTTTTGGCGCAAAAGGTACAGCACAGCCCCGCAGCCGGCAAGACCCTCAGCTGTCAAAACGTTAGCTGCTGGAGTACATGCCAAACAGCATGTTTTGCTAAGGACGCGACAAGCACTGCGAGTAGGATCCCAAACTCAGATTGCGAATGATGAAGTTGGTGTCACATTTACAACACTTCTGAATTGCCCTGCCACCACACTTACCATGTGCACGACATCTGCCATCTCGCCCTTCTGGAGTGCTTCTATCCAATGACATTCACAGAAAAGATCCCCTCGAAAAAGCGCCAGGAGGATGGATAAGCAGGGGCAAGCAGCTGCAAGCACAACATCTTTTTTGCTGAATGGGATCTGCACATCTCGAGCGATACTAGTCGAGGCGCCGGGTTTTCTAAGCGCTTTCACCAGAACCCTTGTCCGAATCCGACGGGCCCTCTTGCCACTGGCAGTAGTCTTGAAGGCCGCATCTACATCTCCATATTCTGGGCTGCTGTTAAGGAACTTAATTTGAGGTACTATATTAGAGAAAAGATATTGACACTATATGTGTATACCCCCTACGGTAACTTAAGTTCTGCTCCTTAACAGCAACCCTCCATTTCGCTGAGCCAGGCAGCAGCTTTGCAAGCAGAGCTCGAGAAGATGGACTTCGACAGAGGTTCCTGGCCATGATACCAAGAAGGAGTGGAAAAGAAAACGGAAATTACCATGGGTTTACGCCCCCCCCTTCATTTCCAGCTAACCGAAGGTAAAGCAATCGTGGTCGCACGTAGGGGCCCACTGGAGCTTGCAAGACTCCCTGTCTCTCAGACCTCTGCATGAGTCCAGGCAGGGTGTCTATGTGAGCACTTTGATATCTGAGCCAGCAGCGGCCTTCGGTAGACGTCTAAGATGCGGATGGACCAGAACGCTTCTGAAAAGACCTGAACGCACACAGTCTAAGACTCTAGGCCATAGGCGGCGTATGAATCCGCCAGGACCACTGGCCTCTGGCATTTGAGGAAACAAGAAAACCCTACCAACCCCCCTGCCCAACCCGTCATTGAGCCGGCAGCTCTGGGGAAAGCCTGGCACTCCCCCTGCCCGCCGCCTCCCCGCTACGGCGTTTCCTTGAGATAGAAATCCAACTGTGCAGCTGGAGGACCCTGCAATTGCCATACAGATGTCTAAGGAGATTGTATAAGGCCATTCAGGTATTGCATAGGGCTCTACAGAGATGTAGTATATCAGAAGGTCATACAGAGCCCTGTGAGGGGCTTTATAAGGAGATTATATGCCAAGGTTATGTAGGCATAATTAAGGTGATCTAAGAATCTGATGGCACAGGGACAAGTTGATTTGAAGCTGTCTTGTTCCAGGCCGCTATACAGGCGAGCCGGCCGAGGTGGCGCGCGCTAGCAAGGACTACGCTGGGCGCCCTCAAGTCTACCCTGTAAAGCATGCGTTTCAGCACCGCGAGACTAATTGCAGTCGGTTAAGCTTCTGACAAGTACCTACTGCTATGCTCTCTTCCAGAGCTACAGTGAACCCTTTTGCACTTAGCATGTCACCCATCTGTCCATGTCTGGGCAATGGCACTGATTACTCAAGCACCGCAGCCATGTTGAAAAATTCTCAGAACAGGGCTGTCGGGTTCTTCCGCACATAATCCTCACATGACATGCCTTAATCCAACATGGCTGGCGTCTGCTTACGCGGAGCCACATCAGCGCATGACCGATACCAGGGCAGTGTGCGCCAAAGGTGGGCCCACCTTGGCTGAGAGTGGCAATATACGAGGTTATTTAAGTTTACTGGGGGTTACATGGGGTCATGTGTTATATAGGTTGGGGATATGTGGGGGTCGAGAGGGTTATGTACGCTTATACGGGCTTATATGAGGCTATGTGGGGTTATAGAGGGTTAGATAGGGCTATCTGGGGTTTTGTGGGGTTAAAAAGGGGCATGTAAGTTCATGTAGGAGCCCTTGGCAATTCCAATCCGAGGTCGCCACCCCAGTCCCCGCAGAACGTGATGTCGAAGACCATTCCTAGCAGAATGGGCAGGCCCCATGCTGAGACACCGTCTAAGAGTTAGGAAGCAACTACACGCAGCTAGAACCAGAACCTATTCAATTTTCACACAACCCCCCAAACCCTAACCCTATATAACCCTATACAATGCCATATAACTATAACCCCATACGACCCCAAACAACGCCATATAACCCCTCATAACCCCATAGAACCGCACACGAGGAATGGACTCATCCTTTCGAAGTGATTGGCACCTCACACAACTTTTGAAGGGCTTTCTGCTACGTGTCTTAGGATTCTTAGGGTTATAGTCGGGGTTTATACACGGTCACATGGGGTTATTACCTGTTGGGAAACGAAGAACTCTGCATCATTCAAACATGTGCGAACTTCCAGTTCCGAAATGATGGAACAAGCAGACAAGTTGGGAAAAAAAAATCACGGATCGTTCCTCATGTCCAGTATGCAAGTCTTGAAACTTCGAGCCCATGTTCACTTCTGCTTGATAACCTTGCGTCCTCTTCCATGACGACTGTAAACAGGAAAACACAGTCATCGTAATTGTCAGCATTACTAGCAAGCCCCTAGAGGGACTGAGGTGCAAGCTGCAATCGTTGGGCTGCAAGGAAAAGAAGGACGTGGGAATGCCCCACGATGCTGGCCTCACGACCCGCGGCTTCTTACTGCTCAACTTGCTGCCGTCGTTGGCCATGAGCATCATGCTACGGCACTTGGAGATTTTGCTCTCGAACTTTGGAATTCAACAAAAGCCAAGGCTCTGGCACAGGTCGTCTCTCCAACAAATCTCTGGGTACCTTGTAAGGCTGAATGCACATTCCCTCCGTCACCACAGGGCACACTGCCTTGCCACGTGGGAAGAACCAAGTGCCTTCTGGCTTGAGTGATGCCAAAAGGGGAGGCAAGCGGAAACTTGGCCCCGCTCGGATGTACTTGTTGTCTGGATCCCATTCAGCTGCCCAGGTTGCACCTCCAGCCTCACAAGAATCGCTTCTTCATCAAGTTTTAAAGGAGTTGTGCCAGAACCTGGTTCAAAGCTCGGCCCCAGGAACCATCAGGCCTGGCAAGACGCTGTGACATGGATGGCTCTCCTGAAAAAAGGGAGTCAAAAGTTGTCGAGCTCCCTGCTGCTTCTGACCACAGCCCTGGTTGCTGTACTCCCCCGGCGCCTCGCTGCAAAAATTTTCCCAACGCGCTGTGGGCCATGGCTGGTTCACCTCCCATGCGCCTTGACATAGCAGTCTTTCGCCTTGTTGCCCCAGGAGCCGGGCACCCATCCCTGACCCTTGAACTCCTCATTGAGGTTCACATCCTTTTGTGCCTCAAGCACGGCAGGCCACTCTCAAAGTGCATGGGGCAAAGTTTGTCTTGCAACACGGGCCTCAACAAGTAAGTCTAGCGAGCAAAATCTGTTGAATGCAATAGTCCAAAAGGTAGGTCCAGGGATTTTGGACCTCCAGCATCCCCTCCTCCCCCGCAGATGCCCAGCTGGCTGCATTCTAAGCATGATTCGATTTAGACCGCCAAATCCGGTTAAGTAACAGCTAAGCCTTTCCTTTCTTTTTGCCTTCCTGCAGTATTGACTGGTTCATCTGGTCATGTGGTTTAGGGTGTAGGGTGTAGGGTTCAGGGTTTAGGGTCAAACCTAGTACTTTGGCCCCTTCGCTGGTCAGGGCCCGGGCACAATCAGCACGGGTATGCAGCGTTGTGGCTGCGTAGGTGCCTTAATGGCTGCTCCTAAAAGAACATAATCCCATAATCCCAATATTCGGAAGGGGTTCTCGTGCCCTACATTCCCTACTAAACCCTAAACCCTAAACCCTAAACCCCCCTTTACAAGGTGCGGTTATGGATTGACTCCAGGATGTCGTACTCGCCCCACCGAGGCCAAGCCTGGCGAAGGGAAACTTCTCCATTGAAAATATCCATCAATAATAATAATAGTAGTAGTAGTACGAGTTATAGGAATAATAAGAGTACTAGTAATATTAATATCAAGAAGTGTAGGAATGGCAATAGCACTAGCAACAATAATGGTAATAATAATCATGATAGTAATCATTGTAGTAATTGTGCTAACAGTATTTGTAATGGTAAGCGATGTACTAGGAATCGTAATAGTAGTAAGCCGGGCACTCCAAGCTGATGCAAACTGGGGAGCAAACGTGATGCGCATCCTTCAACGAGGAGATGAGCTTGACAAAAGGCCCCAAACGCTACCCTAAAAACCCTAAACCCTCAATGCTCCTCAATGCAAGGCATGGCTTCCTAAACCCTAAACCCTAAAGGCTTTGGGTCCTCCCCAAACATCCAGAAGGCAGGCCATGAACCGCAGCTGACAGGCGCCTCCGCACAGCACAAGTCTAAACTCTAAACTTACTGGGGGTTGGGGTAACATGGATGGTTGTCAAAATTGTGGTCCCTTTTTGGGTACCCTAAATATTAGGTGCCGTATTATAATAGGGATCCAAAAAGGGACCATAATTTTGACAACCACCCAAATAGAATAAATGGAAAAGAAAATGGAAGCTACTGTGTTATGATAGGATATATAATCAAGGTTACTGGAAGGATTGTGTGGGGGTTATACCCTACTAACCATCAACAGCCATCAATCACTAAATCCGATTGTCCGCATTTTATCGGAGTCCTGAGCCCAGGGCATGATCGAGATCCAGAACGAAGAGGCCATCCCTGAACCATTCATTTGACCTGAAATGGGGGCTTCCACAAATTAGGGGTACCTTTTTGAGGGTCCCCATACTAACGATACCAGTATTTTGGGGTCTTTATTGGGGTCCCCCAATTTTGGGAAAGCACCAAATTATGACTGCATTCAACATTCTGGCACTGAAACACTTCCATTTGGGCTCCTGACTCGATTCGTACCTCGAATCTGAGGCAGTTGCAAGAACGTTCTCTACTTCAGAAAGTGTGTGAAACAGTAACATTGACAAAATCCTACTGTGTTCGCAAATCACGTGTTTTCCGCCTCGCGGACTTTTTGCTTCAGGTGGATGAGAGCGATTTCCAACTGGCATCATATGTTCCTTCTCCGATGTTGCACAGCAATATCATATCAAGCTTTCAAATTGTGCGACCAAGGTCTTTTTTTGGACCCAACCGGCTGTTTTTGTGATTTGAGATGTCTGTTGAAATGTCTGAAACTTGAAACCAAGCTGGGCTCGAGCCAAGAACCTAGTGGCCTGCTTGCCCGACCTTTGACGGGGTCGCCAACTTGACACCTCCCAAGCATCCACTGTTGCGCTGGTTGCAAGCTTTCAGAAATCGGACAAATGCCGTCAAAAAGCCCACCGGCAGCAAATCCGGGTTACGCTGAGACGTCGCCGCTTGCAGAAAACTCCTGTTGCCCCGCTCGCCCCCTTCTCCACATGCCTCCTTTCCATAGGAACCTTTGCCCTTTGCGGCTGGGGATCTTGAAGAATGGCCCGTGTTCTGGTCTCATGAGGTCATTAACCGTCACAACTGGCCATGTTCCAGGCTGGTCCTGCATAATCCCTGTGTCATATGTTCCCTCTCTCATGGTAGTGAGGCGAAACCTGTCCATGTATGAGCAATGAGCGGCACTCAACAATTCCTGCAGCTTAGTCTCGGTTTTGCGACCCGCAGGTGGAACCAGCACCTGCTGCAAAAACCAATGATGCTACTGACCCTCTTGCATCAACCAATGCACCTCTGAAGCATCAGTGCCCATGTAGACACGGTCGAATGACGCAGAGATCAAGCCTCAACGCTTCTAGCTGGCTCACCTTCATGCTGCACTTTTGGGCGTGCCTCGTGCACTCGCTTCCTCGAAAGGGACAAACTTCACCTAACATTCTTCTGGATTTGAAAACATAGGTTGTCTGCATTATTGCCTGCACATTCTGAGGCATCTACTGTTCCGTGAGTAGGATCGGCGCCGACAAAGAAAGACCACTTGGAAAAAAAGTCCTCGCCTAGCATGCATGTCACGCATGCCAAATACTGCAATTTACATGCCGCCGGGATCCCCACCCACGTAGGAGTGGGTCAGGACCTGTGATGAAGCATCACCATCAAATGAAGAGGAGAAGCCTTTGGGCATGCAGCCACAAGCGTGCCAGTCTTGCATAACCCTTGCTGGCTGCACGATGGGGCGCCCAAACCTGAGGAACGAGACATAGAAGATAAAGAAGGAAAACACAAGGGTTGCTCTCAGTATTATGGGCCCCTTTCGGTTAGAGATGATATTACGGCACCTAATATGTAGGGGTACCAAAATGGGACCCAAAAGGCAAACAGAAAGGAACGGTCAGGCCCCAGCCGCGCACAGCAGCAGCGCAACTCCGGCGACCTGAGCAGAATGCACGTCACCGGGATATGCACGGTAGGAAAATGTAAATGCTGTGAAGCTACGGAAAGATCTCAAAGAAGCTCAGAAACGCACGACTGCTAAGAGCCAAAGTGTAGCTGAATTCCACCTCTGTGGATGCCCCAAATGCCAACATTAACTGCACAAATCGAAGATCTGGCCTTACTAGACCAGTGTCATCCTCCCCGGCGCCTTTGCCAACACCACCGAGGCATAGCAATGCAGAATCTGAGGCCCTGAGCATCGGACTGTCCTTTGCCATGCGCTCCGGGAGTCTCAACTGCCCTGGCATGCTAAGATTCAGCCATGACGACTGCTGATGTATCAGCTATTATTGGAGCAGTGGATTCTACACCACGCTGCGGTGTGAGCAGCAAATCCCCAAAAAAGGCCCTAACGCCCTGGACAGAGGTCTTCACCTGTTAAAATTGCGCCTGCAATCACCGATCCAGCTTAGACCATAGCTGGGAATCGCGGCTAACGAGGTCAGTGCTGCAGGGCCCTCAACTCCAGTACAAGCATTGCTGCAGTGCACCTGGCAATCTGCACACTGCACCAAAGGCTGGGTACTTTACCACAACTTGTGCTTCTCTCTTCGGAACATAATGCTGACGGTCAGCACCGAGTATCTGTGCAAATGTTGGGGCATGACAACTGCTTGCTGCATGCGTGGTTCGAGGCAGTCACCACAAACTCTTTTGCTTCAGCGTTGGAGTGCGTGCTAGCGTATGACAACGCAGCGACCTAGAACAACGACTGCAACAGGGATGGGAGCACAAGAATACTTGTTGAATAGTCACACCTGTCGGCACCCAAGGTTTGCCCCCTTCCCTCGTTTCAAGGGCAGGTGGGCAACGAACGAGAACTACAACCACCGAGTGCACGAGCGCTGTGCCTTGTAAGACATGCTTCCGAAACAACTCAGGTGGTTCTTCAGCTCTCCATACTGCTCACCGTGGGATCACACTATGTACAAAGCTTGAAGCAGCCGGCTCCCGTACTACAGTAGAAGCTGCTGGGGATTGCTTGGAGTCGCCTGGCAGGACAAGTTCTCTTTTTCCATTAGTACTATATACTCCCTATACATAGTTCCCATATAGCCCCATGTACTCCCTGTATATTCCCCATTGTTCTGTGCCCCTCCCCCCGTCCATGATATCCCCTGCCCAGCCCCAGCCACGTGACAGGCGGGTGGAGGATGGATTCTCTCCCATATAACCTCTACCAATATCCATCTTCAAAACCTCTACAATTCCGTAAGCTCTTCAAATGAATATCTTCTCTCCCCTTCCCTTTTCTGAAAAATCCAATTACAGGTTTTCTAGCATTCTGTATAGGCATTGATAATATCATCATTTATGATCCCCACCACAGGAGCAGGGGAGAAGGGGGGGCGACCGAGTATATGGAGATTGGTTCACGTAGGGTGTGGGTTAGCAGAAGGGATTACATTGGTGTATATAACATATCGAAGTAATCGTAAAAACCAAACGCACCAAAATCAGCATGGATCAGCAAGTACTTTGCGTCCTCGTCTGCCCAAGCTTTCCGAGCGCCTTAGTCCACACCCAGCTTTTCCTTATGAACCACGATGGCCTGGGAACTAACGTTGCTGATGGCCCAAAGGAGCATAAATCCGCCGAGGCCAGAGGCCTCTGACGATTAGATGCAGGGCCGGAAGGGGACTATGTTTACCCCCTGCCGGTGCACACGGTTCTCGGCTCCGTTTTCGTAGGTTTCCCAGAAGGCGGGGGGTCAGCGTGGTTTTTCGGATTTCCGAACCCTCGGCCCTGGGTCCGAAATGCGGAGTCCTCCTGGGCAGCATGCCAGAAACAAGATTGTTAGGGGAGAGAAGGAGGGGGGGAGGGAGGAGGGGGGGAGAAGGGGGGGAGGCCGGGAAGAGATTTCGGGAAAGCTGGACGGCTAGAGCTGCGGTGCAGGTTGGACGAGCACAGAACTCTTTGACCACTTCCTTGCGCTCGAGCCCAGTCGGCTGCGCTCCACGCTGACCCTCAACTGCCAGCCCCAGCCTCCGCTACCTTTGCCGAAGCGGTCCCGCGTTAGCGATAAAATTACAAGCTTCATGCTTCCGACGTGCAATGCAGTTTGCTGGTCCGGCTTGACATTATGCTTTTAACCAGCAGCTGCGCTGCTTGTCTGTCGAGGCATGCATATTGATCAGGGATGTGCTCAGGGTTTGGGCTTAGGTTTCAGGGCTTGGCACTGTTTACGGCTTAGCGCTCGCGGATTCATTAGGAAGGGTTGTGGGTTTTTTTTGTTGAAGGCTTGGGCTGGAGATGTTTTTTAAGGTTTCGGGTGGTTCAAGATTTGAGATTGACGTTGTTCAGGGCTGAGGGATTGGGATGTATCGCTAAGGGTCTGAGGTTGCTTATGTTTCAGGGCCTACGGCTGTTGTTTAGGACCTGCCCTTCCCCCCACAGCCTGGTTATGCTTAAATCGTTGCGGTCTGTACATGTTCTTTCCCTGCTTAAACCCCTGCCCGACCTGACCGGAGCTTCAGCCCCTCTTGAGCTCGTCGGCAAAAGGGGATTGCTTTTTCTGTCAGTATGGTTGATGCATGTGGCTTAGGGTTGCATACCAGCTCGCACTGATTCTTACCCAACATCGTTTTCCTTTCAAAATGAATGTGTCCTGTTAGGCTTGAGTGCAGATCCCTCATAAACCACAGCAGCTAGCCTCCAGGCTTCAAACCTTCCCATGGGCCAGCTCGGTCATTAAGGCTCCCAACCACCACTCCCTACCCAAGACTTGCTTTCAGGCTTTTAAGGCTTCCTACCAAACGGCTCCCTTTCTGTTCAACACGCTTCACTGAATGGGTTTGGCTGTCAAGTCTTCCTATGGCAAACCCTTTCTACCCATCTTGCCATCCGCCGCCCTGTATCTCCAGAAAACATAAGTACGATACCAACCATACAACAAAGATAGGCGCTCGCAAATGCAAGTACACGCCTAGCTTGGCCGATTCGGACTGTTACTGGAAAGGGCAAATGTGTTAGGTGCGCGTTGCCTCTCTGAGCGACTATAGACTTAAAGCAGAATTGGACTGATGGGGCGAAGCTTGAACTAATGGGGCGAAGCCTGGACTAGTGGGGCGAAGCTTGGACTAATGGGGCGAAGCTTGGACAAAGAGGGTGATGCTACAATTGAACTCCTCACACCCTTGGACCAATGGGGCGTAGCTTGGACTAACGGGGGAAGCTTAGACTAAATGCAAAGCTGCGTGGTCAGCAGCATAGCAAGGGACAAAAATGCTGAAAAACGGCACGTTTTAACAGAGTGGGCCCTACTTGTACTGCTCCTACTCGCATACGTCCAACCCTTGCTCTCGCTGGCTCTTGCACCCATTGCTCACACATCATAGCCTAATAACAAATCACAGGCAAGATCAATGCGCAGAACACCAACCGGATCCAACCCCCCGAAGCTGAGCCAAAGGCTATGACGATGACAACTCCTCCTCGTCCTAAGTGAGATCTGAGAAACATCAGAACTGGAGTAACCCAAACCCACTCACATCTGCAATGCCAAGGCTCGCCAAGTAAACTTTCCCTTTGCTTTTCCACCGTTTCCTTTACAAGCTTCAGCCTGAGACAGGAACATCGTAAGCGGCGTTTAGTGGCTTGACGACAAATTGAAAGGAACTGGCATTTCATCCAGCTTGTTCGCCCTTTTCATCTTGTCTCTGCCTGGAAAAGAGCATGCTTGACGTTCTCTGGAAGCTGGGTAATTGTTCATGGCCATCACTGAGAGTGCTGCACTCTTCATCGGTCACTTCTAACATAAAGGTAAGCTCCGTCTTCAAGTCATCCCACACCTGACAAGTGTTTGGGTATACACATCTGCAGGCTATACCATTCAGGTGCCGACGTTGAGCATGAGGCCGGCTTTAGCACATAGATTCACAAGCAGGATTGGCGTGTAGATAGAGTAGGTTGCAAGTGCAGACAGATCAAGTCTGGTGCCTTGGAATGGAACACAGCTCTCCTAGGCATTCTGGCCCAAGCCTCCATGCCTACTCAATCCAAGAACAACTGGACCCGGAGCGCTGGGGTGTCTTGACAACTGAGCTCTACAAGCTTGATGTCAGGTCTCAGCTTTGAAGCATTGCAGTGACAACCAACCTGTGGTAACCTGGCCTGTGTCATGATATGTGTCCACTGAGTGTTTCGTGCTCAAACTGACACACATGTGCTTGCAAAGATAAGTGGGGAAAACTATCTTTGCCAAGACAGCCCTTGCACTCCCAAAGCAGATAAAGCCTGCTTCTTCTCAGGACTGGTTGCATTTGGAATCTCCTTGTGAACCTGGCAACGTTCAATTCCATTTTGTTGCAACGTGGGACTTGAAGAACCCAAGCGGACGCGAAAACAGAAGAGTGCGAAATCTTGAGGCCAGGACGAGCGCCCCAAGATCTTTTTCAAGCCACTTGTTGGCGGTCAAAGCTTGCTTTACCTCTTCCTGTCATCAAGCATCCTCCTTAATGACTCCGTTCCGGCTGATTCTTGTCATCCATTTTGCTGTTCCCCATCTTGGCTCAGGCCCATGTTATGCTGCTTTGCAAGGCAAGAATCCCTTCCCCCTAATAGTAAACCCCCCAACCCCCCCCCCCCTTATATCAAATACGGCCTATAAATATATATATATATATATACATATACATATCCACCACATAACGGGAGTATTGAATATTGGGCGGGGTGTGGTTTTGATATTAGGGGGAGGGGATTAATGATGCTTTAGTCAGGCCAGACCAGCTCCTGCCTCGAGACCCTCAGCGCCTTGCAGGTTTGTCTCCAACTCCTTTGCCAATCCTTCAAACTCATCCAGACTGTCCTTCACAGCCTTCCGGATTTCCTGGTAGAACGTTGACAAACATGTTCATAACGCATGAAATTGCAAGTAGAGTGTTCTGTCCTACTCTGAGGATTTGTCACTCAGCTTCTGCAAATGCTGATGGTAGACTGGATGGCGTTCCTCCAACTTTTGCTTTTCATTTTTTGGATCCTCATACATCCTCAGCGAGCTGCGGATCGGAATGTGAAGAAAAGAAACTATTCATGCTCAGGTTCTTCCGGACCATGAGATGAAGAGTTCCCGTGTACCATTTGCACCTGTGACAGGGTCACTCTGAATGCAGCTGCAAAATCAACGAACTCGAATCGAATCTGCGCCTGCTCTCCAGGTCGACCTGACAAAGCTCCCCACGCGCCCGCCGAACTCGCCTCATATGGCTGCACGACGCGCTCTCCTCTCTTGTGCGTACGCTGTACACCCGCATGCCGCATACCACATTGGAGTCACTCCTTGCCAAGCTACTTGCATGCACAGCGCAGACAGCTTTCAGCGTACCATATCTGGCAGGTACCTGAGGCTTTGGCGCATTGTCTGGTCGCTGATTCTGAGCACGATCGCCGATTTCGGCAATGCGCCTGGCCAGAAATTGGACCTGCCAGGCAAGAAAATCTTTCCTGCATCAGAAAAGAGGACGTCCCAAGCTCAAGCTCAAGGCATTCTGCACGGCAACAACACTCAGTGGCCTGGTCATTGTATCCCGATGTACTGTTCACCTGTTTCTTCATCAACCTTGTCAGCAGCTTGCTTTGGCAGTTGTGCCAGGCAAGTAACATGCATCTGAGTACCCCTTCAGCTTGTCCATGGTGTCATGTGGCACCTGCTCAAAAAGCTGGGCATCGTGAACAGACGGCGCAACATGGATGCAGACTGTAAGGGCCAAGCGGTGTAGATGGAATTGATGATTTGCACAAGCCTCAGCAGGCGTAGATATGCAGGATATGCGGAGATAGAGGGAAAGGAGACAAGCCCCCTGCCCATCATGCATCCTGTCCCGGGCTTCAAGAAATTGCCTGGCCGCACAGCTCCGAAAAAATACAGCACCACACACGACCCAACAAGCATGCAAGTCCTGAAAGCAAGCACAAAGTCATCTCGGCTTGCTTGTGGGACATTACTGGAATCTTGTCTGGAACTCAAGAATGCATGAGACCTTTTCACCCTATGACACAAACACGTTCTCGCGGCTTTGCACAGGCACACTGCAGACTGGACAACTTTGCAAGGCATCTGCACACGAAGAACAGCAGCAGAAGTGTCGGCAAGGCCGCAGTACAATGTTCCGCGGCGCATCCATACCTCAAGAGCAAGCTTCAATACTTGCATACTGCATCAACCTGCCATGTTAAGTAGGTAGCTCGAGAAGCTGCGCCCTCAGCGTACTTACTTCAATGGAAATCCGAGGGACGAGGATGATGGTTTCAGCAGAGCAGCTCCCGCAGGGCAAAACACCACTGCATCATATTGCATCTTTAGCCCTCATAACTTGCAAAGTTTGTCATGCACGATACCTCGGTCCCATGTCCCCAGCCAATCACATGGCCCCTCTCAAAAAACAAGCGTTTTGGCCTCTTCCCTCTCTCTGTTCATCCTCTGCTGCTTTTCTCTCTCTCTCTCTCTCTCTCTCTCTCTGCCGGCATGCGGACGCAAAGCCCCCGCTGCAGTGCGCCGGTCACATGTCATTGCACTCAGGGTGAACATCACAAAACATGATCAGCATAAAATTAACAGAAGCGGCGGATGCAGCCACTCAGCGGCCAAACATCCAGCACACGAACGCACCCTCATGAGATTGCCATCTGTGACGATCCTGCGCCAACTCCGCGAGGTTCAGCTGATGTGCACGACAGTATGCATATACGTCTTGTTCATGCCTACGAACGTACCACCTCCTGGGGTGCACCGCTTTTCTGAGATTAGGACTGTGACTGCAGAACTGCCGCCCAAGAAAACAAACATACTTGGGTTGAAGCTTCAAAGTCATGTATGCAAACCGCAAGGACGACACAAAGCCTCAGACAAACAAATGCCAAGCGATCTATGTTGAGGTACCATAACCTTTACGCACGTACAAGTTCGCAGCAGTGTTGGCTGACAATGCCATACCACTGAGTGAAGCATGGCTTTTCTTGGCTTCCTATTGAGGAGGAGATTGAGCGGACCCAGGACACTCCGTGATATGAGGACACTTAAGATAGCAAGTTTTCTTCAAGAATGATTTTATTTAGCATGCATTGCAGCCAAAGGTGACTGCATCGCGACAGTGCAAGACAAGACAATTCGATGCAACACAAACACGGCCCACAGTGCAGCACCTAGACTGCAGATCCTGGCCTTTAATGCTCTGCGCTGCGTTGCAAGTTTTGCCAGAAATGGCCTTTTCGATCCACACATGCGGCCCGGGTGGCAGACATGTGCTTGGCATGGCCAGCCCACTTCAAGGCGTGCTCTTGCTGTGAGCTTTGCGGAGGGGGCATTCCTTATGTTGACTGCTGCGCAGCAAGGAGGACATCTGCGGGTAAATCACCAGATGCAACTGGTTGCACATGGCCAACAATTTTGAAGCCTTTAGCCCAGGAAGTGCTGAGAGACATGCCTGCTAGGCGGTCAGGAAAGATGCGATGTGTTTTTGCTAATTGTTGACTTGAAATTACCCGGCATGCACTATGCGCGAGCCATAGCCGGTAGCTTTGGATGCGAAAGCGCATACGCAACGCACTTCTCCAGTCGTCGACTTAACCAATTCTTCCTTGCATTCCTTGCGTCTTGCGTAGCCCGCTCACGCTGGAGGAGGTGCAACTTGACCGTGGAAGTGTAGCGTCACATACAGTCTGACTCAGACAAACGTAACATAATGTAACTTCTCAGCATGACCGCGAAACATCCCCACCCTCAGCTTGACTTGAATTTAGGGTTTGAAGACACATCTGCACCAAAGCCGAGAGGCAAATGATGCAAGCCAGAACATCTCGGCTTCCAGACGGTTCATCAGCCATGTTTGCCAGCTGCTCGCTTAGCTCACTCCAGCGAAGGAAATCTTCACGGAAGAAGCCAAGGAAGCAGCCCCATTTCGAGGCTGAGCGCAGCATGTTTTGAGTCACACCCTGCACAGGGGACAGGATAGCTTCAACCCCAGAGGCATAGGAACACAGATGCTTCCGAGTCATCCCCAAACTTTGTTGCTTCCTGCCTTGCCAAGCTTGCTGATGTCGTTTTGCGAGAAACGACGCAGGAGTCCGTTCATCTTAAGAACACTCTGAAAAACTTGGGCTTCGTTCTTCTCCTTTCGGAGTAGACCACTATCCTGCAGAAACCAAAACACCAGAAAATCGTTTAGCTTTGGTCTGTGAGGATCTCCAGTACGCTTGCCAATCTGAGATGTAGGAACACAAGCCCACAAATCTTGACTTGCAAATTCTGTTCGTAGCCTAGCCAACACCGATGTTGACAATTGGCGAGCATGCTTGGATGGGAAGAAAGACCTGGGATCTGAAGGATAAATGGTTTGAAAATGCAAGAGCTCCAAATGCGCTTCTGCTTCATCCAACACGGCTTTGGCTCGGAATTGGAACTTGATATCTCTGCCTGTCTCTGCATGCAATCTCTCCATCACACGGACCCGGTGCTGGCCATCCATAACATAGAAGTCATGAGCGCAGCTGTTCAAGAGAATGAGCAAGTTGATTTGTCCAAAATCACAGAAACGCCCGGTTTTTGACAACTCCTTGAGGTTCTCGCGCACTCGCTCGTCGACAACATCATCATTTATGGCTCGGTTGCTGCTCATGGGTTCAAAGCGGCACTTCGACTTTACAACGTTCTTCCAGTGAAGAAAGCCAGTGTAGACACGGCCATCCGGATCCTTCACCACCAACCTGCTGGCGACACCCTCTTCCATGACACTCACCTGGGCAGAAAACCAAACAGTCAGTCTCAGCAACCCTCCTACCTACAGATCATGCTGAACAGACAACACCTTCCCACCATTTGTTTTCTGAAAGCTGCCAAGGGGGAGATGCAAGAAGACGAAGCAGGCACAGCCTCCGGGGCACTGATCCGAGGTCTCACCTGTCTCTGAGTCTCCATGGCTCGATACGTCGGGGCGCCTACATTTGATTTGAATGCTGTTGCTACCACCATCGCTGTTGCCAAGTGCATTTGCTGGGCTCTTTCTACAAACAATATCCACGTGCGAAACTTGAACTGATTTCATCGTTGCATCTTCCAAAGTGGCACAAGAAATTACTTCAGCATATTCATCAAACAGCACAAGCATTCAACAGCCTTCGCTGTAAAGCATGACGCCCTCTTTGACCTCTGTGCTTCGGTCTTTCATGCTCCTGGAACAGGGTCAAATGTAAGCAGAACTCAACCTGGATCATGACAAAAGCAGCCCTGGCTCAGTCCTTACTGTGGCAAAAAGAACACCTCTCCGCATGCTTGCACGAATCATCAGGCCTGCACAACAATTCCTAAGCACGTCTGATCCATCGAAAGCACTGGCCAAGCCCTGCACCTTTCAGGATTGTATTTGTTGCACGGTTTGCAGCCCCCAGCATAGTGGGTGAGACTGCCTGGATTACCTTGAAGCATGTGCTGAACAAAATTGACACTTGTTTCAATGCCGCACAACCACTGACTCACATGAACCACAACGCCGCGACCATCGCCCCACATGGCCGACCGCCGCCCCCGCCACCCCCACCACTGCCGCCCCGCCGGCGATTTCAACAAAGTCACGCTCAGAATGGCTAAGAACACAACCACCACCATGACGATCAACATCATCAGGAGCCAACAAAATGATCAGCGTGACATTTTCTGATGGCGCCAAGCTTCCCGGATTGTCTGGGTCGACCTTCGGCTTGTGATTGGGCGCCAGCTGGTCTTCAGCTGGATCAGGAAGAAATGAAGGCTGCAGAAGCGGGTCTGCAGTAGGACCACCAATGTACATGCGCCGCTTCTCAGAATCACCCGTGCCTGAGCCCGTGGGAGTGTGACAAACAGTTTCCAAAATCCGAACACTGTCTAAGTGGCGAGCTGTGGGACAGCAGGTAGCTTCAAGCTACCCCCCGGTGTCGGCAATCCAAAATCCCTTCATTTGAGTTCTTGGGCCAACACACGGCTGCAGTGAAAGCAGGCATGGAGACGGCAGCGGAAAAATAGGCGCCGACAAGGTGAACACAATATCTTCAATTTATGGGAAATTGCGCATAAACCGAAATTCCATGTTCAAGTGTGTCTCTATCGTACACAGATGTATGGAAGGAAGAACACGTACGCAAGAAGCTGACGCTGTTGATGATGACGGCGGCAATCAACCAAATCGAGCGCATGCGGTTCAATTCGTTTAAAACGTTCACAAGAATTGACGAAAATTCATGATCAAACATTCAACATGTAATCGGAATCGGCCAACATTACTGCTCACTTTCCATCACTGAAGAAAAAACCAAACTGCGTGCAGGAAATGAGCCATTCGGCATGCCAAGTTTTCATTAGTTGGTGTTGGTGAAAACCCCAACTGGCATGGATGGAAAACATGCGAATGCAAAATATAAATGGCGTTCAGCTTTTATCCGATTATAATGCGATGAAAACAACGTAGCAACGGTTCATTGAAAATGCAAGCGTTGCAAACGCGGCTGTGGAAAGGTTGTGACCTTTATAATATGGTCATACATCAAGACGCACACATTTTTTGATGCTCATATTTTTGCAAACCAACGAGCATGATCAATTCATCCGTTTCGCTGTGCTCTTCGCGCGATTTCGGATGAATTTTTTTCATGCTGGAACACAATCGAAAAGGGCCGAAAAAGTCGCGATTGTTCAGGCGATGTTTTGTTTTGCTCGCGTTTGCTCAGGATTTGCTGCTCTTGGCGTTTTATGTTTGGGTCATCTTCATTTTTGTTCCATGACCCTGCCGGCGAAACATGCCGGCCAAAATGAAGTATCGACCACGCTAACATTGCACTGATTTAGGACGAGATTGCATGGATAATCTGCATTTACAAGCCATATATGCTCAGTGCGATTTGGAGCTTATCCCGACTAAAGCAAGATTTCCGGATTTAGAAGTTTTGAACAATCCCACAGGAAACCCGCATTTTCTTGGCGCACAAAGGTCAAAAAATCTAAGACGATACCCCAATTAAATCATTTTCTGAAGCATCCACATGTAAAATCCGAAGTTTCAAGCTACACGAACTCAGGAACTTGTGGGAATCCGATGGGCAAGCTGCAGTGTCAGGCTTCATCAACCCAAGGAATTGCGGGGGATAACCCATTTAAAGTCCAGGCCCGCACCAGCCCACCGCTTTGAGCCGCAACGCCCATCCGGCCACCGATCCCCCCGCCGCACGCTCAAAGCCAGCACATGCGAGCCCAAAGCCGCCGCCTTTTTCTTTTCCTGTGAGGACAAGACCTCAAAGGTTTTCTGCTTCCTGTTTGGGGAATAAACAGCCGTTTTGTCCCTGAAACTTTGCTTTCCGCCTCCGCATTCTTTGCGGGCCCATCGTGGGCCCACAGCTCCGGGCCGTGCCGCCCATCCTGCTGCGTTTTTTCCGCACATTCATTGCGGGGTTCTAGCTCTGAACAAATCACTCCTTTTCAGCACGAACTCTGAGCCTGAATGCAATCATGCAACATGGATCTTCCATGCACTAGTGAAAACATGTTTGTGTCTTTACAAAATCGGGGTCTACACATGATGCAAAAGTTCGTCACCCCGCCTGAGAGCCGATCTCAAATCTAGCTCTCACATGAACTTTCCACTGCTCAAACAATGCGCTACTGGCACTGATCGAACATCACAACGTTACTAGGAGCATCCCTGTACAACCGGCTGGCCAGGATACTCTGCTCTTGACTGACCCAAGTGAAGGCCGTGAAACTTCACTACGCAAGTGAGTATCCCGATGCTGACTATGTTGCACGGTACATGCGACACCATCAGAATCAGGCTCCTCACACACACAAGCAGGAAGAGGCTCATCCATCTAGGAACTCATTCCTACAGAAGCTACATGGAGTGTAACGTTTGGTAACTCCATTACGCACGTGTCCGCAAGACTCATGATGGTAGTGCTTGCCTGTCTTGGTCACATGCACTGCACCTGGCAGTACACCCTGGTTACCAGCTTGAACTGGTCCACGCGGAAGATTTGCATTCACACCTTTGCTTGCAACCTCGACCTGGGCTGTAGTTCTGCCGAGTCCGTGTCAGGCGCATGCGACGGTTTGTTCTTGAAGAGAATTCTAGCCTTCGTCATGGACTGTCCGATCACCATGCGAATGCGCACAGACAATCAGGCTGCAAGACAGATTGCGCTGAAGCAAGGTGTCAGCAAAATAAGACACCTAGATGGTAGATATCTTTGGGTCCAGGAGCAGATAGCTGCAGGAGAGTTCGCCGTAGGCCCAATAGATGGTAGGATTAACCCTGCGGATGTAGGTGCCAAAGTGCCAGCATCGCAAGCACGCCTCAAAGCACTTCTTCGGTTTCTTGGTGTGGTGCAGGTCTTTGGCCAAACCATCGAGCCCGTTGGGGAAGAGGAGTGCAATGCTTTGCGTCAGAGTGTGTTCAGACAGCATGAAACAGCACGGGTGCGCAGGCTGCTCAACAAGGCATTGCGTGTGCAAGTCCTGCACTGCGTGCCATTGTTCTTGGGATCATGTCAAATGTGGCAAATGCACGTGATACTGAAAGCTCAGATGAGTTTGAAATTGTTCGATCAACCGCAGACGCGCCGAACCGCATCAACATGACCGTGATGGTGTTGACATTTGCTTGTGGGATCCTGATGGGATGGATCATGCATATGCTTGTGCCTCAGCGCGCAGATGATGATGAGCCCAATGTTTCAGTGCAGAACGAAACCACAGGTTCGTGTGACCAGCATCCCATTCCTGTTGCCAGTGTGAGCGACTGTCTCAGCACCGTGCGTGTGACCCTCTTTGAGGTTGGATGGGAGCGAATCACGACTTGGATGTTCATGATTGCAATGACTTTGAGATTGCTGTTCTGCAACTGTTGTAGTCGTTCTCCGAGCCTTGGGTCCGGCTACGCAAAGGGATATGCATCGCTGGGATTTCACTGCGCTGTATACGGGGCATCCATTTATGTAGTACACTCCGGATGACATGGAACGTCTAGTTTGGCGATTGCCTGCCCAATCGGCATCAACAAACACCTCAAGTAGGACCTCGCCTGCATCGCTGGTGCTGCTGACTCCATGACTCAGGACGCTGGTGCCGGGCTCACCTGCAGAAATGCATGTGGCATATGCTGACGTGCTGTTGATGTACATGCAA